CACACCACACCACGCCACACCTCTCCCTGCAGAGCCACGCCCCTCCCTGCAGAGCCACGCCACGCCCCCCCTGTAGAGCCACCACACGCCCCTCCCTGCAGAGCCACCCCCCGCACGCCACGGCCCTGCCCCGATCCCCAGAACCTGGGCTGGTGTGGGGCTGCGAATGCCGATCCCCGTCCCAGCCCCAGACAGCCCAGCCACCCCCAGCTTACGGACCCCAGGCGACCTGCTCCAAAGAGCTGGCACTTGAAGGCGCCATTTGCTGGGATTTGTCCTGCAGGTCCAGCGGGAGGCCGCACAGGCCACCTCCAAGGCCTGAACCCCAGACCGTGTCACATGGAGAGGGCCCCAGGATGGGGTCCAGCCAGGACTTTAACAATCCAATAGAATATTTACTGAGCATGGACTATGTGCCAGGCGCCTTGAGCTGGGGACTGGGGTTGGGTGCTGTCCCCCATTCTAGTGGTGAGGCAAACGGATCGTACACAAAGATGATTATCACATAACGGCAATGAGAGGTGCCGTGGGAACATGGGAGTCTTCCTGGTGGGTCGGAGCAGGAGTTCTGGGGTGAGCCTGTGCCGGGGGCCAGGGCAGAGCAGGAGTGAGGGCTGAGGGGCACATGGACGCGCACTGCAAAGGGCCTCTGGCCACCGGGGGACTTTGGGATTTTCCTCTCAGAGCAGCGGTTCTCAACCTGTGGGTCGCGACCCCTTTGGGGGTCGAACGACCCTGTCACAGGGGTCGCCTAAGACCATCGGAAAACACATACATAATTACATGTTTTTGTGATTAATCACTATGCTTTAATTATGTTCAATTTGTAACAATGAAAATACCTCCTGCATATCAGATATTTACATGACGATTCATAACAGTAGCAACATTACAGTTATGAAGCAGCAACGAAAATAATTTTATGGTTGGGGGTCACCACCACATGAGGAACTGTATGAAAGGGTCGCGGCATGAGGAAGGTTGAGAACCACTGTCTCAGAGGGACGGGCAGCCACCGGAAGGCATCGCACAAAAACACAGGCAATGAGGTGCTCTGTGCTATGTTTTTAGTAGGTGGCCCACCCCGTGGCTCCCACACAATGGCAGGCACCCTGTCCGGCTTCCAGATGCGAACCTCGCTCCATCTCCCCACCTGGGAGCTGCAGAGACCCCGAACATCCACTCAAAGCTCCCAGGGAAGAGGCAGTGCCCTAAGCACCCGCGTCATGCCCACGCGCAGAGCCCAGGCCTCCCAGCCCCGCCCGAATCCACAGGGCAGAGTTCAAATCCTGGCTTCTCCAAACCTCAGTTCCTGCTGGTGAGTAAGGGCCACCCAGGCCCTGCCCCACAGGCTGTGAGGAAGGGAGGGGCTGGCACTGGGACCGCAGTGGCCCAGTGGTCTTCTGACCAGTGTGACCCCAAAATAAAGTCTTTTTTTTTAAGTTACCGCCATCCAAAAACAGCCTTCCTCTTCTAGTTAATGTGAGGATTAATTAAGCTAATAAATATTAATAATTACGAAGAAAAGGTTTGTTTTTGTTTTCAATTTTTTATACTCGATTTCAGAGTGAGGAAGAGAGAGAAATAGAAACATTGATGAGAGAGAAACGCCCATTGGCTGCCTCCTGCTGGGGATCGAGCCCGAAACCCAGGCATGTGTCCTGCCTGGGAATCGAACCGGCGACCTCCTGGTGCCTGGGACGGCACTCAACCACTGAGCCACACCGGCCGGGCAGAGAAGGGGTTTCGACTCGCCCCCGCACACAGCAAGTGCTCAATAAGTGCTTGCCGCCAGCTCCGCGGATCCGAGAACATTATCTGGGCCAGCCAAGGACGCGGGCTCCCCTCGGGATCCTGGGGGCCCAGCCTCACCACGGGTGCCAGGTGCTCTGATTTGCCCGCAAAGGCAAGAATTCGGTAGCAGAGGGGCTCTCCCGGTGGCAAGACACAAACACAGATGGGCTGAGGCTCTCAGCCAGCCCCTGGGTCCCCGGGCCCTGGCAGGGGCTGGCAGACAGCAG